TGCCAAGAGAATCGACCGGATGCAACCTTGTGAGCTGGATTTCACATAGGACAAGTTCGGCTTTGCTCAGTTCTCATTTTTTTCTGCTGACTTGCCAAGAGAAGCGACGGACCGACGGGAGCTCGTTTTCCAGCGCAGAGCTCCGTCCGCTGATTTCGCTCGCAGGACTGCGCACAAAACCTGGTGGCCCGGGTGGAGAAGACCTGGCGCCAGATGTCCTCGCAGCGCGCTGGGCAGACCTTCTGCGGCCGTGCCGTTTTGGGGGGAGCCCGCGTTTGGAAACCGTTTCTGAAAAGAAGCCAACAGGAAACCGTGGCCTTTTTGGAGGTCCTCTATTTTTGAGATACAAGCCCCTTTCAACCTGCAAGGGTGGTGGGTTGCTCCCGTTTTTCCTGTAAAGGGTCCAAACTAGAAATTCAAACCTATCTTCATCTGGAGCCTGTCTGAGTGTCTCCTTTTTGTTTGTTTGGTTGATTTTGAAGTGGTGTCCCCTCAGAAAACGTTGAACAAAAATCACAACCTTGCATGTCTGGGTGATGGAAACCCAGGATTCATACACGCCTGGTTGATTAAGGGGAGGGGCGCGTGCAAGTTGCTAAGTACCTGGAGTCACCTCTTGACCCCGAAAAAAATGGTTGGCCATGCAAGGCCATGTAATCATAAATTGAGAAACATGCCAAAAAGCCGGAAAAGCCCGGCGGGACTCACCAAAAGACCCCTTTCAGTGGCAAGGTGCTTTCAGGGACCTCTTTTCGTCAGATTCCATGGCATGGGAGTTCCTGCAACCTGCCTGAAGCTGAGCAAATGTTGGCAACCTCAGGGAGTTTGCAACCTCACCTACAAAGGATCCTCGTCGCGCCCATTTGACAACAGACATGTCACAGGTGCAAACAGTCAGCAAGCAGATCCTTGAGGGTGGTTTGGCACCTTTTAAGGAGGAACTACTAGTTTGAGACCCCAACAGCACAAAACTCCAAGGGTACTTGGACCCTTTGGCGACCGCTTTTATCCCCCAAGAGAGTGTCCCCAAAAAACCCTTGGATTGCCAGGAAGTATCGCAGCATCCTCGACCTGGTGAGCAAGAAGGCTCGCATCTGGGGTTCATGCCCCCCCCCCCAGTCCTTGGGGCATTTCCCGCTTTATTTCTTGGGAGGGGGTCATGGAGGCTCCGCTGCCCAGATGGAGCACGAAACCCATCATTAAGACCCAGCTGTCCGATGCTGCTTTTGTTTCCCCTGAAAAACAACTACCACAAAAGGCTTGCCCCTCCTCTTCCTATGGCCACTGGAGATCTGGGTCCCCTTTTTGGTTTAGTGAGGTTCGCAATCTGTTCGGGGATTTTTCGTGCACCCCTCCCAAAAAAGAAAGAAAGGGGATCGGGATTGAAAACGGTTGTGATTGCAAAGAGTGGAGAACCAACCCCTAGAATCACCTGTTGGGCCAAATTGATGTTAGCTGTTTTGGTGCGGGGTGATGACAGAAAGGGGAATGTAGGGAATGTCTGTCACATGTGCAGGTGCTTCGACCCCACAAAACTGCTTGGCGCCTGGCTTTGGGATGCACATTTACATGTTTGGCAAGGGGTGTCACTTGCTAATCCTTGTCCGAATAATTCGTCCGGCTGTAGCTTGGAACTTTGGATATGAACAGGTGGACTTGCTCAAAGCTTCGGGGACCTGGCGGCTGGTATTCACTTCAACCGCAACGGGCAGAGCGTCAATGGCAAGCATGCCTGAGGCGTCATGAGGCGGATCTTCAGCAAGGACGACTTTCAATCTCGGAGACGTCGTGGATTTGCAGCGCGCCACCGACGGCTGATTCTCCGCTTTGCTCCAAAAGCAGTTTGGACCTCGTTGCTGAAATGGAAGAGCGAGCTCTTTCTGAGTCCTTGGCAAAGACTCACGTGTGGCACGGACTGCAGACAGCCAGGAAGGCCGTTCGCGGCTTGCCGATGGCGAACATGTTTCAGGATCTCTGCACAAATTATGGCGCTTGATGTTGCAGGACTTGTGTGCTTCTGTGCCATTGTGCTACTTTGTGGATGCCACACCCCAAAGGTAAGTTCTTGGTTTGTTCTCCGGTTTCCCTTTACTAGGCACCAACTTCTGCCCTTCCAGGGTGTCTAGGAACCGCGATGAATCTCTGCCCCGCACCTAGCTGGGTTGTTCAACATCACTCTTAATCCTCATGCCAAATGGTAGTTGTTTCCCGTGTTGTAATGGGTGTCGCAATATGGATTCTTATTTATGGTTCCCTTTTTGTAATGGTGCCAGACTAGGGGGTGCGCCTTTGTTGACTGTTTTCCGGGAGTTACGCAGGTTTAAGTGAACTCTTGATCCCTGCATTGTGTGCTTTTGCTGAGGTCCAATGTGCTAGCCAATCAGCAGTTGTGCATGCCAGCATGGGAATGGGAAGGTGTCAAACCTGGGTGCAAAATTAGAAACAGCCCTAATGGTTTCTTTCATGTTGCTTTTCTTTGAAAGTGGACTCGCCATTTCGGACGTACACGCTTCTGATCATGGAATAAGATGTTGCGCTTTGCATACATGTTCCGATCGCGTTAAGATTCAGGGTGAGTGTGATACCACACCAACTCAACCTGCTAGCCTGCAGGCTGCACCGGGCTCGGCTAAGAAATTGCTTCCGGGTGAGCCTGAATTTGATAGCTCACCCGCAAGGCCTCAGCAAAGGAGTCCTTTACCCGAAAAGGCCGCCAAGAAATCCATTGCCCTGGATTTCTTGGCGGGCACTTCCCTGATGGTCAACAATTTGCTAAGAAATTGGACGAAACATCCAGGGGGGCTCGAATTCTCAGCAGCAATTGCAGTTGCAACCTACTGATTTGGCAATCTCAGCCTGCTGTTCCCAGCCCTTATCCGTGTGCTGGGATTCACTTTAGGATTTGCAAGTTGTTCAAAGGAAAGCCATGTGAACAAGGTACCATATTTTCCAGTTGTGGTGGGGGGAGTCATGCCTCTCCGTCATGTTTTCGGGTTGGGGGGGGGTGTGCGGCAAAACGGGATAGGAACCCTCTGAGTCCGATTAGACTGCCTTACGGCGGCCCTTGACCATGGGAATATCATGGGTGCAACACCCTGCCTTATGCAGCCTGAGCAAAATGAACGCTGCAAAGACCATTCAGGGTTTGCAAGCAATGTTGAGCCAAGGTCTAAGTAGAACACGCCTGTCAATAAGGGGTGCTCCCCTCCAGAAGCAAGTCATTCCCACTAAACGGGACGCCCCTGTATTAATCAGCCTGTAGTTTTTTCCATCCGGGGTTCCCATGACCGCAGAAAAAGCCTCAAGACTAAGACCTGATGCCAAAACCAAAACGACCCGAGTCTGTGGATTTGCCCGAGCTGCTTCACCGGTGTGAGCAAAGAATTTTTCCGTACCTTGGGTACTTCTGCTTCAGGCCGACCACTCGGTGCTGCGGCTGCTCCAAATTTCGCAGCAGCACATCGAGAGCCAGCTGGATCGAGTGCGACATGAGCGGGAGCTGTGGAAGGAGGCACGGTCACGTCTGACTGGAGGGGGGTCAAACGGGGTTGGGCACAACCTGTGCAGCGCCCCAAGACCCCCTGTTGACCATTTTAGCAGGCGGTCCTACTGTCTGGTTTCATGGGATGGATGTTTATTAATCAATCGGTAGAATAAAAACTCGATGGATTTTGTGCGCTGCTCATTTTTAATAAGCCAGACTGCTCGGCCCCCTTCAAAGGGAACCAAACACAGTTCATCAAAGTACTGCAGCAAAGGTTCTGCAGCCGGTAAATTTAACATCATGTACACTCAGATGTTTTCGTGCTCCCTGTGTAACTTGTCGCCATGAAACGAGGACACAGCCTGGCACCAAACCGAGGACCCTTGGTGCTTTCGATGGTTTGTTCGCGGGCACACAAGTTGATTTGCTATCTCCTGAAGAAGCTAAGGGACTAGGAATTTTACAGGTACCCTGTTGGCTGGTTTAAAGGCCAAAAGGACAGCCGCCACTTTTTGGGGGATCTCCTTTTTGATACGTGCGCACTTACGCAGCACATGTTTCCTGATGCTAGCCAATAGGCCTTGGTCACCAGCCTCCAGGTTGTGGACAAGCGGTCGCAGCAGCCTCTGCAGCTGGCGCTCACACTCAAGGACGTGTACCCCAGAAACTGAGGCAGTTGACACTTGAGACGAGGGCTAAACACCCAAGCCTTCCATCCACCATTTTTGGTTTTTCCCGATAGTGGACAAGGAACCGTTTCAAGAGGATGGCGTCCAAACCCCTCCTGTCCACTTCTATGATTTAGTTGTTGGAACGGGGGCAATCCCAGGGCGTACCATCAAAACTATTGGATTGAAAGACAGCGTGAGACCAGCTAGGTGAACAGTTGCGACCAGGGCCGCAGAGTCGTGGTTTGAGGAGTTCATGTTCGGACGTGGTGCATCAGCACGTAAAACAGCCGGATGATTCCATTTTTGGCAATGGGTGTCAGTAGAAGGAAAGCCAAAACATGGGTGAAATTAGGGCACATCGTCCAGATAGGTGAGCTCCTTTTACTTCCCATTGCAACCATGCAAACAAAAGCGGCTCTTGAAGGACACATTTGGGCCAGGCAAAACCTTGTCAAGCAGGCGGTGTTTGGATGCATCCTTCTACCGGAACCCTGAAAAACGGATACCCACTCCGAAAAGAAGCCCACATGGGTCGGTCTTTCTTGCGCTGTTCAGGTTGGTTCAAAGAGACACACAAGGAAGAGCTGTTCCGGTCGCCTATTTTCAGACACTCCCAAAGCAAGTGCCATAGACCAAGCAGACACAGTTTCGTCGCGAGGATCCTCACACGGGGCAGCCGCTGCCGCCGCCACAAGGCGCACCTTTCGACCGGTCGGGCGGTTTCCCCGGCCTTGGCTTTGGTTTTGCCGTGCCGCGGGTTTTGCAACCCTGGCAAGCACGAGCTTCCCGGGTTTAAACAGGGGCACGCGCGTGGAAGGCCACTTGCCTTTTCAAGGAAAGGGGGGGTCAACCATTCCGGGGGCAACCATTCTGGTTGATACGGCCATGGACTCTTGAAAGGGGCGTCCATTTCTTCAGCTTTCAGGGCCAAGCCCCCCCCCCAAAAAAAAAGCCAAGGATTCGCACCATGGGGCCTACAGTTCCAGGCTACAGCCTGCCCAGCGGACTTGGCCCTCCCGGAGGCGAGCTTGTGATGCTTCACACCAGCCTTGGGGAAGCAAAAATCATGTGCGTGCAATAGGATGCCCCTGGAGTAGTGTTGGTTTCCTGCTGGTTTTCTTTGGTTTGCCGTTCAAACCAACCAGCAAAGCATAAAGGGTACCTTCAAAAAAGAGACACACCCATATGAATTTCCTTGGTCCTTTGTGCGGCTGTTCCGAAGGGATGCGTTTTTTTTTTTTCCCCGGCGTGAGACACGCCCAAAGCGCAACCGAAACCTCACATGTGGGCCATCTTGGGGTTCTACACAGGCACGTGCCCAGAAGCCGATACGCAGGAATGACAAAAGGGGGGGGGGTTCTCAACAGGGCAGAGCCCTTTTTGGGGTGGTTTCAACGGAAACCCAAAGGAAACAACCTATCTTGGGCTCCGGGGATTTTGCGAGGCCTGTGTGAGCCTATTATGTAACTGACCCACCAGTTGGCATGGTTCCGCCTTTTTTGTTTGAATAAACACACCCATTGGGTTTTGGGTTTTTATAAAGGCCCAATTGAATTGTTTCGCATGCGAGCAGCCTTCCGAAATTTGAGGGGTTTTAAAAGGGAAGCCTAGCAAACTTGCGTGCTTGGCGAAATTGTGTGTTTTGTATGGTGTTGAAGGGACATGAGCGTTGGTAACTATGATATGTTGTGTTCCAGAGATATCGTCGGCTATTTCAAGATTGGTTGCTTCAAGTCAAAGGTGATACTTGGCTTCAAGAAGGGTTCGTGTAAATGTCGCCTGGCAAATGTTATTTGCATGTCTGCTGATCCAGCTCGGTTTCTGTGTTTGCAATTCCCTGTCGAGCAATGACGCTGTGTAATTTAGCCTGCTCCAGATGATAGGTTATTGTGCTTGGCTTGCCGTCGAGTAGTTAGCGGTGCTGCATGTTGCCGTTGCGTGAGGATCGTAGATTAAAGCGCATCGGCAAGGAACAGCCAGAAAACCACTCGTGACACATTGCGCCTAATCTTGCACGGTGTTTCTTCTGAAGCCCGAAAAGGACCGTAACCCCTGCTTCTCTTGAAGGCTCAATTGCAGTTCACTTGAGCGCAATACGAGGACTTCGAGCCCATTTGGAGGGTTTAGCGGAAATCTCTGTGAGACAGCAGCGATTTCGGGGGGTCCAACCAGTTTTGACACTTCCCTATGCGATATATTTTTGTTGACATGCCTAAACCTTTGCTGGCGTTCCAGGCTTAGGTTATGCTTGGCACCTGTTAAAACAAGCATAGAGGGCATAATATTCTTATTTCCTTTACACACCAACAGAAAGGGGTGAAGTCCTTTTCATCTCCCTTGATTTCAACCAATGCCAAAGGATTACCCACTAATGTAAAGCCTGACTGCAGACCCCTGGTTTGGACAACTTCCTAATGTGAGCTTCTGGCGTTCCATCGCAATGTGGAAGAACTGTGAGGGCAGATCATTGATTGGGCTGGGTTGCTTTCTTTCATTAATGTCCCAATTTTTACCATCGGACAAATTTATGGTTCCACCCGTCGGTACCTGGGGTTTTCCATCAGGTATGCCCATGACGCCCCGGTCCATGCCGGCTATGCCGTGCCCGGGCATGGCCGCGGTCTTGGGCCAACGACTATGATCTTGTTGCCCCAGTTTGGGGGAGGTGGAAACGAATAGACCCAATTGTAACCCAAAATACTCTAATAATATGAGTTGCACCCTTTTGGTTCTGGCAAAATATGAAACTCTTAGAACCCAGTAACCCAAAACCTCAAGGTTTTCAGGGGCTGGTCAAAAAATATGCAACAAGCCATCGAACTGCAAGCCTAGAGCAACCCAGGCTTTATCGTTTTGCCTGGGGCATCCCAAGGCAACCCGCCGGTCTAAGGCCCCAGATACCCGGGTTGGCAGATTGGAACGAAAAATAGTAAGTCGCATCCATTGAATGGTATGCAAAACCTAATCCTCCCCAAATACCATGTGAGCAACCGTCAAAACTCGCGTTGTCTAGTGTATGTATTCGGCGGACATCGGTTTTCCAAAAGTGAAGAAAGCTGCGGGAAGCGATGGGGGCGTCCCAAAAGCGATGCCCTGCTCTTGCATGCATCAACAAACACAGAGTGAATATTGCTTGCGCTACTTGATCCTGGAGGTTCAAAGGAAAACCAAGCAGAAGCCATCCATTTTCGTAAGTCCCTCACAAAACAAACCCAAATCAACACTTGACAGCTGATGGTTGCTAGGTGTGCCAGGTGGCGTATGGCTGTGCTTGAAGCTAGACCACCATCATAACATGCAAAAAGAAGATGCGCCAAAGCGATGCCCAAAGCGATGCCCAAACGATGCCCTTACAGCACCCTGCGCAACTGTGAGTCTCGGCCTGCAACAGCACCATGCAACAGCAGCGCCCCACAGCATTGATGCGCAAGCTGTGCAAGTGGAAGAGCCCCAAGGGGAAGCAATTAAGTTTAGTGGCGAAGATCGGCTTGGAATTCAAGACAACATTTTGTTCTGTTTGGAAGCCTGTTGGCTTGGATGTTTGGGGCAATGGGTCCGTTGCAATTAAACACACCCGTGTTTGAGCATACAATATGTAAGACTTTAAGAGCGATGCCCAGAAACAAAAAACAAAACAAAACACACATGTGGGAAGCGATGGGGTCGTCCCAAATTGGCGGTGTCCACTGCGGGATACAGACAGCCACACATGTGACTATCCAGACATGTTTGCTCATTAGAGCCAAATTGTGATGGTATTTGTTTGGTTCTGTACTGTTTGATGCAGTCACGTCAGACAGGCTGTGCAAGCCTTTGGCAAAAGCTTGAGGATAAATTGAATGTTGTGCTGGCTGCATGCCGCGTTGTCTTCCGAGTCTTCTGCTGGTAGGAATTTCTGCTTGTCTCTTTTCTTCTGGCAATGCTCGCATATCCCCGAATTCGCCGCACATCAAGGAATGTCACGCAACAACAGGGACATGAGGACCGTTAAACCACGCTACCCCTCCCGTATCTGCAAAACGGATACCAACCACTATTGTCAACAACGCTAAGACAAGGACTACCAAGCCCTAAAGATCCTGGCTAGTTTTGGGGTCCTCAAAAAGGATTCATGTTCCAGGTGCTCGAGGGTCGGGGTTCTCCTTTAGAGATCCTGATGTTTTGTATTGTGGGAGTCATGATTCTTAGGGCTCTCTGAAGGTCCAGTTCGGGAATCCTGCTGGACGATTTTCTTCAAGCAACTCCAACACCATGCCATAGATGGACAACATCTTGCACCAGTTGATAGGTGGTTCATCAGAATAGCAGGGTTTCATCCATACTAATTGGTGCAGAGTTTGTCCAACACTGGAGTATTGGGACCTAGGAGGTGTTGGGTTTGTCCAACTCACATGTGACTGAGGAGCCGATTGCTCCATCAGGCAGCTTCGTGTGGAGCCTTAGAACAGTCTTGGGATGCTGAGGGTTTGTTGGAATGCTTGGAGTTGGAGGGACCTGGGCCCATGCCTTGGCACCCGAGTTGATGGATTTGGGTGCGGGGCCGGGGGGGGGTTAAAAGGGGGTCTCAAGTACCCTCCCTCCAATCGTGGAAGCTGACGACTGGAGGTTTTGGAAGACGAAAGACAGCAAGCCCCATGTCCGTAGGAAAGAGGGAGCCCGTTGGGATTTCTGAAATGAGGTTTTGCGGTAGCCCTTTCCTGAAGGGTCTACTTGGACCTCCTTTAACCCTTCAAAAACCGTCCTCAAAGGTATCAAGAACCCTGCGGGTTTGGTAAAGACACGCATTTGTTGTAGAGAGTCTGTTTTGATACAGGTACATGACATGTGAAAGTAAATGGCTGCGTTTGTCGGCAAACCTTTGGTCCCAGCATTTTCAAGGCCCAAAGCCGATTGAGTTTTGAAAGTCAGTGGAACCTGCATCCAGTGTCCCAATCAGATCCCGGCTGAGGGAAAAGGGTGTGCTACATGTTTTAGAAACCAATTCTAGGGGGACCTTCCCCGTTCTTTCCAGGAATCCTTCTTTCTAGAGAACCCTCAGAAACCGAGGGAAACGGATCAGGTTTTTGAAAAGAACGATGGTTAAAAAGAATGGGGAATCAACCCCTGGACCAATGCGTTTTCATCACACCCCAAAAGGGTGCCTCAAGCTGGTCGGATAGCTGGGGGAAGGGCGCAAGGCGATTCGATCGACACTCAGGTGCCGGAGCCAGGCTCTATGAAGGCCGACCGCTTCCTTTGAGCTTTCCCGACTGACTTGACTTGTTGTGCAGCCATGAACAAAGTCACATAGCCATGTTTGCTGAAACATTGAAAGATATTAAAAGCTTCAAAAACAACGCCAGGCCATAGTTTCACTTGTTCAATTGGCTGTAAGTTGGACAAGTGCGTCCCAGGCCACCGGTTTTCTGCAGTTTGCTTTGCGAGCCCCGGTACCAAATTTGCATTCAGCAAATGTAAGTCTCCCAAAGAAAGGGGCTAAGAGACTCTGTGCGGGACACGACTCGGTCAAAAGAAAGATCCCCGTTCCTCACGCCAGGCGGCACACCAGCCCTTGGCTTCAAGTCAGACGGATCAATGAATCAAGCATCGTTTGAAAGCAACTTGAGAAAGGCTTGGTAGATTTGGGAGCTCGAGCAAATCTGTTTGGGGGGAGGGAAATGGCCGTCCGGCCGATTCCTGCGGAGTTGTTTTGGACTTGGGGCTAGGGGTGAGCAACAGGAGGTTCTTCTGAGAATTCCGGCCTTGCGGGTTCAATCAACTCCAGACTGCGCTTGTAGGCATCTCCACTCGCCAAACGCATTGCGCGGCCAGCGGGCGCGACGTTGGGGTGCCCGAGAGATCCGCCAGATTCCAAGCAGCAGACTCCATGTCAGAACCAGGCTGTCAGGTGTGCCCTTGGCGGATGTGCTTATCGTTTGGCCTCGTAGGTTCAATTTGTCGTGGGTGATGTTTGAAGGCATGTTTGCGGCCTCGTGTTTCACTGGGCATGCCTGCGTGACCGGGAAAGCCATGACGGACTGGATGGATAAGTCCTGCAATAATGCTGAACTCACCGTAGGTGTGCACACATCTGCACGGAAATGCATCTTGGAAGTGCCTGCAAACATATATTTTGTTAATGTTGAAACGCATGTGGAAACATGAACTGTGTTGGCAATGCTTGACCACAATGGCGCATGCCATTTTGGCTCAAGCTTTGCCCTGGGTTCTTTGAACCCAATTTGTGTGAAAAAAATACCCCGAACTAACTCCGATCTAGCAATGGCTTCCTCGGCAACCTCGGCAACCTCCTTCGAGCTGATTGAGGACCAGAAGCTCACCGCGGAGGAGGTGGAAATGGCCAGCCAGGAGGCCCAGGAAATTCGCACACGCGAGGCGGCAGTGGCGGCCGGCCTGGTGTTGGACGAGCCCGAGGCCCCCCCGTCGGCTTCGGCTACCGACGTGATGAACGACCTCTCCAGTGCACTGGAGCGTCTCCGTGTGGCCTTCTCCACACCGACTTCCGGCCTGGGTGCCCCTGGCCCCGCCGAGGAGGAGGAGGACAAGGACATGGAAGATGCGGACGCCACGGAGCGGGCTACTCCACCAACGAAGAGGCTGAAGGGTTTCGTGGCGGCTTCCCAGAAGACCACGGCTCAGGTGAACAAACCGGTCTCCCTTGTGCCGGTGGAGGGCCGTCCCGGCTACTTCAAGTTGGTGGACCTCCCAGACCTCTTCCCGGTCCTTCCGGCATCGGCGGCCACGTTGCTGCGGGACGTCACGGTGGAGGAGGCGGTCTCCCTGTTCCACAAGTTTGTCGGGAAGAATCTCACGGAGGACTTGGTGATTCGCATCCTGGAGGCCTATGTTCCGATGAAGATCCAGATCCGGCAGGAGGAGGTCTGGGCCTCACAGTTCCAGAGGAACAACTCGGACTACAAATTCATGTGCAAGGCATGCGGCACGGGGTGGCCGGAGGCAGCCAAGCAATGCTGGGTCTGCCCGGGCAAGGAGTTCGTCCCCTTCCAGGCACCCTCGGCTACCTACGAGGCGGACGGCGTCAAGTACAACCTGCTCATTGTGGAGGGCAAGCCGACCAGCGGGAAGGGGGAAGCCTGGGTGCCGCTGGCCCCGGTGGTACCCGGGCACAGGCAGACCGCAGCCTGGTGGACGGCACGGTCCTGGGGAGAGCTCCTCCGAAAACGGACACGGCAGAGGAGATTACCATGGCAGACGTGGTCCCGCTCAACAGGCGGGTGGACATCCGGCAGGAGATCCTGTCCATGGAGGCGGACGATGAGGCGTTGAAGGTCCGGGAGCACCAGGAGGTCAAGGTCAAAGTGCAGCGGTCCCTGAAGGAGGCGGAGGCTCAGAGCTTCCAGCTCTACCACCCCCAGGTGGACCAGGCGATCCGGAAGAAGGAGGAGCTGCATAAGGCCTTGAGGGAGCACCGGGAACCGACCCCGGAGGAGTCCTCGGCCAGGCGGCGGCACAAGGAGTTGGTCACGGACGAGATGCTGGACAATGAGATGGCTATCCTGGCGCCTCTCCAGGAGGGCATGCAGGCGAGGGAGACCTGGAGCGATTCAAGGCCAAGCTGCGAGATCAGTACCTGGAGGGGAAGGGCGTTGACGCCAGCCAGGCACTGGCTGAGGCGATGGGCTCCATCCAGGAGGCTCAGGAGGCGAACAAGCGCACCCCACCAACCAGGCATGGATGCTTAACCACCCTCAAGCCCTTGGAAGTGTCGGCGTGGCCAGATGATCTCAGGCAGGCACTGGAGAGGGGGCTGTTCTGCCCCCTGGAGCTGGATGACCCCGAATACATCCCCAACGTGGGTGACATCAAGGAGAAGTATGTTGTCCCCTACATCAGGAGGCTCAGAGAGGCGCAGAACCCATGGAACCAGGAGGCGCTGCTGGAGGAGATGCCCGATCTGGCGACACCGGCCCTTGCAAGGGTGCCACCGGGGCCGGGGGACCAGTCAATGCCACAGCAGGACCTGAAAGAAGAGGCACCAAGGCGAGCTACGGATGTTTGGGGGGATCTGGAAGAAGCACTCCCCAGGGCGCGGACCAGCAATTCTGGCCCTGGAACGCAGGACCCACCCACTCACGTGCGAGCAGGACCACATCGACCCTGTCATCTACACGGCCTTGGAGATCCGAGCGCAGGTGAACCGGGGCGAGCGCCCGGCGCCGGAGCAGGTGGTGGGGATCTTCTGGGCGAAGGGCGATGGAGTGTTTTGGACAAGGCAGACGAGAACGTGGGACCTGCCGAGCCTGACGGGGGTGTACGCCCACAGGTTCACCTTCAAGTACATCTACTCGGCCTGGACCACCTTCCCGCTGATCGTGAAGACGCAGCGCCGGGGCCGCAATGCGGAGGGCTCGGCCTCGGACAAGTGGATGGGCAACATCCTCCAGATGAGGAAGGAGGCGGTCCCCTTCCTGGAGAGCCTGGGAATCCCCAAGCCGCGCAGCAAGGCGGAATGGAGCTACATCTTCAAGGAGATGGGGACGTTTCTGGCGGCCAAGAATTTCATCGTTAACTGCCCGTTGCCGGTGATGGAGATCCCAGTGGCCCCCGTCCACGACAGCAAGGAGGCGCTGCGTTTCAGGGCGGTCTGCGACGAATCACCCTTCCGCTGTCATCGTTGAGGGCTTTCGACTCGGTGTACACCAAGCTGGTGTCGGGCCTGAGTAAGTCCTCCATGGTGGAGGTCAAGGTCAACTGGCGTTGCAACGTGGTCCATGACTGGGTGGAGCAGGTCCCGCAGGAGGCGGCGCCTGTACGACCGGTTGGGCTACTCCCAGGACCTTAATGCAGACCCCGGATTAATAAACCGGCCCCCCCTCCCCCCCCCCCCCTCAAGGTCACAAGGTCAGGTCTGTCATTTTTTTGAGGGCCCCCCCCTAATAGTGGGAAGGGGAACCTTGTGGGAAGGTTAGGTCAGGGAACCTTGTGGGAAGGTCAGGTGAGGGAACCTTGTGGGAAGGTCAGGACCTTGTGGGAAGGTCAGGTGAGGGAACCTTGTGGGAAGGTCAGGTGGGGAACCTTGTGGGAAGGTCAGGTGGGGGAACCTTGTGGGAAGGTCAGGACCTTGTGGGAAGGTCAGGTGGGGGAACCTTGTGGGAAGGTCAGGACCTTGTGGGAAGGTCAGGTGGGGGAACCTTGTGGGAAGGTCAGGTGAGGGAACCTTGTGGGAAGGTCAGGACCTTGTGGGAAGGTCAGGTGAGGGAACCTTGTGAGGGAAGGTCAGGACCTTGTGGGAAGGTCAGGTGAGGGAACCTTGTGGGAAGGTCAGGTGAGGGAACCTTGTGAAAAATTTGGGGGGGGGAACCTTGTGGGAAGGTCAGGACCTTGTGGGAAGGTCAGGTGAGGGAAGTTTGTGGGAAGGTCAGGACCTTGTGGGAAGGTCAGGTGAGGGAACCTTGTGGGAAGGTCAGGCGAGGGAACCTTGAGGGAAGGTCAGGTGAGGGAACCTTGTGGACCTTGTGGGAAGGTCAGGTGAGGGAACCTTGCGGGAAGGTCAAGTGAGGAAACCTTGTGGGAAGGTCATGACTTGTGAGGCCAGGGAACCTATAGAATGGATTTAAAGCAATCAGAGGGGTCTTTTGAAGGCTTTTGGAGAACATGGTTGATTCATAGGGGGTGCCAAATTTTAAGAATTTTGATGAGTAATTAGGGAGCTTGAAGGTAGCTTGTGAAAAAGTCAGGTCAGGGAACCTTGCAGGAAGGTCAGGTCAGGGAACTTGTGGTTGTGGGAACCTTGTGGGAAGGTCAGGTGAGGGAAACTTGTGGGAAGGTCAGCATGTAAAGCAAGCAGAGTTGTAGTTCTCTGGTTGATTAATAGGGGGTGCCAGAAGAATTTGGGGGGCTTGAAGGTCAGGTGAGTGGGAAGGTCATGACTTTTGAGGTTAGAGGGGTTTTTGGAGGCTGTTGGAGAACATGGTTGATTAATAGGGGGTGCCAAATTTTAAGAATTTTGATGAGTAATTAGGGAGCTTGAAGGTAGCTTGTGAAAAAGTCAGGTCAGGGAACCTTGCAGGAAGGTCAGGTCAGGGAACCTTGTGGTTGTGGGAACCTTGTGGGAAGGTCAGGTGAGGGAAACTTGTGGGAAGGTCAGCATGTAAAGCAAGCAGAGTTGTAGTTCTCTGGTTGATTAATAGGGGGTGCCAGAAGAATTTGGGGGGCTTGAAGGTCAGGTGAGTGGGAAGGTCATGACTTTTGAGGCCAGAGGGGTGTTGGAGAACATGGTTCATTAACAGGGGGTGCCAAATCTAAGAATTGTTGATGAATAAGTAGGGAGCTTGAAGGTAGCTTGTGAAAAAGTCAGGTCAGGGAACCTTGTAGGAAGGTCAGACCAGGGAACCTTGTGGGAACCTTGTGGGAACCTTGTGGGAAGTTCAGGTGAGGGAACCTTGTGGGAAGGTCAGCATTTAAAGCAATCAGAGTTGTATCTCTTTGGTTGATTAATTGGGGGTGCCAAATCTAAAGAATTTGGTGGTCTTGAAGGTAGCTTGTGAAAAAGTCAGGTCAGGGAACCTTGTGGGAAGGTCAGGTCAGGGATCCTTGTGGTTTGTAAGAAGGTCAGGCGAGGGAACCTTGTGGGAAGGTCAGGATTTAAAGCAATCAGAGGAGTCCTTTGATTAATAGGGGGGTGCCAAATCTAAGAAATGTTCAGTAATTAGGGGGCTTCAAACAGCTTGTGAAAAAGTCTGGTCAGGGAACCTTGTGGGAAGGTCAGGTTAGAGAACCTTGTGGGAAGGTCAGGATGAAACGCCATCGGGGCCTTTCTATGGTTGATTAATAGGGGGTGCCAAATCAAAGAATTTGCGGGCTTGAAGGTAGCTTGTGAAAACC